CATTTAAAAAGAAAGGATATACTTTGCAATAAATAAATTATATATCATTAAGGGTAAAATAGACTTTTTCACAAAAACCTAAATAGATCCAATATACTCGGCTAGTTTGGAAAATATCCCACCACACTGCAATGGCTTTAGACGCTACCAAAGAGGTTCTCACCTACCACTTTCCAGTCATCAAACTACAAAAAGATGGCACCGTCGAGAGGCTCATTGGTTCACCCCATATTCTCTGTTGCCGAATGATGATGCCACCGGCGTAGCTTCCAAAGACTTGAACATTTCACCAGTGATTCAAGCCATACTATACATCCCAACACTCATAGAACCAAACCAAAAGCTCCCGATTTTGGTTTATTACCATGACAGTGGATTTTGCCTCGGATCCGCCTTCATTGTCCTCGAGAACTATTACATTAACATATTTGCAGTTGAAACAAAAGCTTTAATCGTTTTTGTTGGATACCCTTTGCCTATAGCCTATGACACCCTTTGCAACCATCACGTGGCATATGTCATCGATCTTCTAATACCCTATAAATTGGAAGTGTCAAAAATTCAAAAAAGTGACAATTTTTTTTTTAAAAAAGTGATAAATAATATTTAATAGCAATCTAAATGACAATCAATTGTATCTCTCATCAAAATTTTAGAATAGAGCAAGGGTATGATTGGTTTTCTTCTACATATTGTCTCTTTATGATTGTACTTCACTTTTACTAACTATCACATCAAATTGATTTGGAAGAACTTCGATAAAGTGATAACAGTTCAAAAAAGTGACAGAAATTAAAAAAAAAGTAACAAAAATAATAAAAGTGACAAAAACTAAAAAAGTAGACATCATATTATAGCTTAAATTTGTATGATGTTTACTATGGTCTTATGAACTATATATCATTGACAAACCAATAATTCAAAATCCCATAAGCACTACAAAAAGGCTGACATACGGCATGTCAATAGAATCTACTCCCCAAAAAACCATAACAACACTTTACCATGGTAAGCAAATCGATTCAGATGCCCATTCTAATAAGTAATCATGCTGAAGTATTTATTTTCAAATACAATACTATAGTGCAGCGAATAGTACCTGAAGAAGCTCTATTTTGAAGTTCCACTGCGCGCCTGTGTTCTCTCTTTTTCTATCAGTGAGAAAGTATCACCTATTTGATAAAGTTCCACATCTACATCTATGGCTATGCCCGGATCAAATTCTATCTCATTTGAGTTCATTGATTACAATATGCCTTAAGACAAACAAAGGGGGGGACAAATGTTAGAAATGCTACAAACATAGGATAACATAACCAAAATACATATGAAACTAACATGCTACGTAGATTCATTTAAATTTGACACTTCAATGTAACACAAGAACATGTTTTACCAGATGAAAGGTCAGATTTATCAATCAAACCACATATCATGCATAGTACCAAAGTTTTTGAGTTAATATTGTGACAATAACACAAGAACTAAGAAGCGCAATGTATAGGCGTATAGCAACAATTTTTTAGAGGAAAGAAAAACATTTCTTTCTCTGGCAGATTTCTAACCTGCTTACCATTTCGTGGATATAGAATTGATTGCTCAATATATGCAGTAGTCCCTAAAAGTAACAAAATATCAACACAATCAAATTATCTTTCAGCTAAAGATGAAGGTTCAGTCAAAGAACATATTAATATTGAACTTACACAAGAACACAACTAGTCATGACAAACAAACAAAAAAAATGGATAATTGGAGGTAAATCACATTTTGATTCACGACCAAAGAAACCAAGAAAGATCACCTAAAAGTCGCAATTAAATGTATGAACGAACAACAAACACACTTTCTTCTTCCCCTCTTTTCAAAAATACTGATTCCCCTTTGCGTAACACACACGTCTTTGCCATTAGATTTACAAATAATTCATGTGCTAGCACAAGTTCCAATTCCTTTCACACTCGGCATATACAAATACAAGTGTTACCAAAAACCCTCATCTTGTCTTTCTTCCCATCTTTAACCCATTCCATTCATGGACCACGTGCCAAAAGAGGAAAACGATACGGTTGCATCCCTTTGACAAAATGATAGTAAATAGAGGTCTGTCATGCCAAATTGTGGCTAATTTTTGCCACGACGTTTTGATTAAAGACGACATTCTGATTGGAGAGTCACTGGGTGGCGCCACATCCTTTATCTTCGGCGTCCTTGATGGGTTTTCCATCTTCTCCACTTATTTCTAAGGCGGCTTTTGAATGTATATATTATGGGACTAAAAATTTTAATTAGTTTTAGGGTATTATTCTAATTTTTGATTTTTGGAAGGTAATGGGCCTAATTTCTCCGACAAATTAGGGGTCCCAAAATAATTATATTAAAACTTTTTGTCCGGACAATGAGTGGATAACTGTAGTCCAAAAATTCAAAAGCTATACGGCCCTTTTCCCTTGCAATAAGGTTATATGATGGGAAAATGATGTGAAATCATATTTTTAAAGTTTTGATTTCATTAATTACGTATTAACTTTTTTTTTTTAAAATCAAGTGGTCACACGAATGTAACTAACGTGTAGATTAGATCACAATCAGACATTATAATAAGTTCCAATTACACAATTTATAGGTCATAATTATTAATCAGAATATATCACAATCACATACCATCTAGTCTCGGTCTCACACCACATGATTTTTGAAAGTCTTTTACAAGTTCATTAATTTTGAAATTGTATACTTAAAACATTTGCTCCCTCAATAGAATAATTTTGGTGGTTCTACTCATTTGAGTGCAATACCCAAAATTTATTTCATATTTGAATATATTAATATTTTAGTTCTCTTAAATTTTGATAAAATTTTCTTAGTGATAGAGAAAGTCAGTAATCATTTATAATTTTTTTTAGCTATGCTGATTATTTTGGTGAATGCTCAAGTTAAATTTCTCGTACAAATTGAAATTTTATGATCTGAGAAGGGAGACAATTAGATTCAGTAAGCACGAGTCCATGAAGTAAGGGTATTCATGAACTGAGTTCGAGGGGGCTCGACATAACTTGTCATTCGATTGTATTTGTTCCTTCATATCCAACTTTTGATAAACTAGGTTGCTCCTTTGACAAAACTTGGATAAAGTTGGATTTGTGAGAATTTGTAAAATACATATACTTATGACAAGTACGATAAATCATAAAAATATAAGTTACCATCATTATAAAAATGTTACATACATCATAATTTGTCAAAAAATTACACAAATTTCATATACCGTAATTGAAATATTTTACTTTAAAGCGCCCAAGTCTTTATTCCAATTTTGAAATATTGTGCAGAAGTAAAATTTTGTAAATATTTGCAGTGGATTTCAAAATTTAACAGATGAATCCATTAACATTGGTGAAGCGTATTCAAAACATCAACAAGAAAGAAGCAACACTTGGCATATCTGAAGAGGCATCTTGGCATGTGAAATATGAAGACTCCGCCTATGTTTATGTTGGTGGGATACCCTTTGACCTCATAGAATCCGTGGAAAGGATGATTCATTCGGATCGACGTAAGAGTCCAACTACATTGCATTGCCAGGCGATCTCCTTGCAGTCTTTGCTCAGTTTGTCCTTTTTCTCTTTCTATTAATCCACCAGAAATAGTTACTTTATACCCCTATTTTAGCAAAAAAATTGCCTTTCAATTCAGCATATTTTACCTTTTAGGTACGGGAAGGTTGCTGATGTTAATTTAGTTAGAGACAAAGGCACAGGAAAATCCAAAGCGTTTTCTTTTCTTGCTTATGAGGATCAAAGAAGTACAAATTTAGCTGTAAGTAAGACTCTCTGCACCTTGAATTGCTTTTCTTTTTCCTTAGAACTTGTCCAAAAGAGTAATGCTAATACTTTTTCCATAACATCGTATTGGTTGAATGTATAAATAATCTAAATGGTAATGGAGCTCAAATTCTGGGTCGAACAATTAGAGTTGATCACGTGAGTTATTACGAGAAGAAAGAGGATGAGTACGAGGAAACCGAGCGGCATAAGAGAGAGGAACGAGGTTTTTGTCGAGCTTTTCAAAGGGGAGAATGTAATCGGGGAGATGGACTCGAACAGTTGCAAAGAAACTTTCTGTTGGATATAAAAGTGGGAAATTTGCTAACAGTCGTAGGGGTGGGTCTGTGAGAAATGAATCTAGTTTCTTTAACGAAGTGCTTTTAGAAAAATAATCATGGAGCTCTACTGGTGAGAAGAATTCGCTTAGTGAAGAAACTTTAGCTGTTGATTATGTTCAATTACTTCAGGTAAAACTTTAGTGTTGCCAATATATCTATTAAACATTTGTCTTCAAAAAGTCCCCACGAGTGTAGGCTGATTTAATTTTTTGCCTCAAACTTTGACACAATATTCATATTGGGTGGGCAGGTGAGGGTGGCTGGGGGGAGAGGGTTGGAATTAAATTTAAGACATTTGTTTGTTCTGCTACTGTTTCGCGCGTTTTACTTGCTAAAAATTAAAAAGGGATCAGACGATTGTGTAAGGGACAAACCTCTTGGAACAAAGTCCCAAAAGAGGTGTTTATTGAATATGAAGATTACAGTTTAGATACGAACTCCAAGGGGCGCAAGCACACAAGTACAAGGGAATTGAAATAATTAAAGTTAATCTAAAAAAAAGTAAATTACATATTCTCCGTTTGAGAGTGAATTTTGTCGGGGCCATCTTCGTTGTCTTCTTTTTTCTTTTATACGGTTTGGACAGTTTTTAATCGCTTAGAAACTGCTTGAAACCATCCATTTTCTTTATCATGGCCAACACATCCAAAACTGCCGTTTATAACTGTT